GTTCTTCAACGCCAACGGACTTCATAGCCAGAAAGAAGAAATCGGCGTATTCCTCACCGACCATCAGGTGGACGTTCTCCTCGTGCAGGAGACCTTCCTGAAACCTTCGATGCGCGATCCTAGGATCGCGAACTATCTAGTCAAAAGAGACGACCGCGTCGGCCGAGGCGGCGGTACGTTAATCTATTATAGGAGGTCCCTGCAATGCATCCCGATCGACACGCCCCCGCTCGAAAACATCGAAGCCTCGGTGTGTCTCCTAGCGATGACCGACCATAGACCGATATACTTAGTATCGGCATACCTCCCTCCCGCTAAAAAGATCCTCCGCGCCGACCTCCAAGCCCTTCTGGCCCTGGGGGACTCGGTGATCATAGCGGGGGATTTAAACAGCAAACACAGCAACTGGGGCTGTGTCCACCCAAACCGAAACGGTCTAACCCTGGAAAGCCTATCGGTCTCCCTGGGTTACGACATCCTCCCGCCTGTGCATCCTACGCACTACCCAATAAACCCAGCGCACCAGCCATGCGTTCTCGACCTGGCCCTACTAAAGAACGTAGCCCTCAGGCTGAGTTCCATAGAGGTCCATGCCGAATTAACCTCCGACCACCGCCCCGTCACTCTCACCCTAGGTCCACCAGCCGACGGAGCGCCAAAACTCAGAACGGTAACAGACTGGAGCCGGCTCATGGAAGTCCTCGAGTCGACAGACACTCCAGTGCTGGACCGCATTCCAGACAGCATCGTGTCTATCGAAGACACGAACATTGCCATTGATGCGCTCACTGAGCACCTGCAATCGGCAGTCAAGGACTGCTCCAGGGAGGTTCCGGACACGGGAGACCGTAGATGGAAACTGCCTGATGACGTAAGGGCTCTGCTGCGCGCAAAGAACGCCGCCACGCGACATTATGATCGCTACCCCTCCGACCAAAACCGGGTCCGCCTGCGAGCTTTACAGCGCGAAGTAAAGACCCGCATAGCGGAACTACGGAAAGACAGATGGGATGACTTCACTAGGGAGCTCACCCCCAGTCACACCGCGTACTGGCGCATTGCCAAATCTCTCAAAACCGACCAAGACCTCTCGGACCTGCCGCCACTGGTCCGACCTGACCAATCATTAGCCCTATTCGACGAGGACAAAGCCGAATGCTTGGCCGACAGCCTCGAAACTCAATGCTCCCCGAGCACCCTCCCGGTGCCAATCGGTCATCTAGAGGAGGTCGAATCCGAGGTGGAGCGGATCGCGTCGATCCCGCCCACATCGTCTCTCTCCCCCGTCACTCTAGACGAGGTGCGATCGCTCATTAAAAATACCTCTCCCCGTAAGGCACCCGGTGCCGACGGTATCACAAACAGACTCCTTAAGAGTCTGCCGGAAAGCATTCTGCTACTGTTAGTAGCAATCTTCAATGCGGCCATCTCCAACGCCCTCTTCCCGGAGGCTTGGAAAGAGGCCGACGTGATAGGGTTTCCCAAACCGTCTAAGGACAAGTCCCTTCCCACCAGCTTTCGCCCCATCAGCCTCCTCAACTCGTTGGGGAAGCTGTATGAGAGGCTGATCCTGTCGCGCCTGAAAGACTGGATGCAGTCCGAGGGTGTGCAAATCGATGAACAGTTCGGCTTCAGAGCCGGGCACTCGGCTGTTCATCAAGTCCATCGCTTAGTCGAGCATATCCTCAACGCCCGACGTCTAGCGCCCAAAGGGGTCACAGGCGTCCTATTCTTCGATGTGGCGAAGGCCTTCGACAAAGTCTGGCACAGCGGCTTGATATACAAGCTGCACAAGATGGGAGTGCCGGACAGGCTCGTGCACATCATACGAGCCTTCCTGTCGAACAGGACCTATCGCTACAACGTCAACGGTGCGCGATCCAGCGCAAGACCGTTGAGAGCCGGCGTCCCGCAGGGCGCCGTCCTCTCTCCCCCTCTCTTCTCGTTGTATACCAACGACATCCCTCGCCAGCCCCGAGTGCACATAGCCCTCTACGCTGACGACACAGCGTTATACACGGACAGCCCGTCGGTCGCCCCCGTGGTCAAGAGACTACAGCGGGCGGCCGACGAGCTGGGCCAGTGGTTCCGCAAATGGCGCATAGAGGTAAATCCCGACAAAAGCGCCGCCGTCCTCTTCACGACAAATAGTCAGTTGTCGCCTCCGAAACCAATTAAGATGTTCGACACGCCCATTCCGTGGGCTAAGAGGTCTAAATACCTCGGTGTCGAACTCGACTCAAAAATGAGCTTCGTACCTCATATCAAAACAGTCCGAGGCAAGGCCAGTTTCATACTGGGACGCCTCCACCCCTTTCTCAATGTAAATAGCAAGCTATCGCTAAATGCGAAGCTGCGACTTTACAAGGCCTGCATACGGCCAGTCATGACGTACGCAAGCGTCGTGTTTGCGCACGCCCCCCCCTCGTACCTGCACACCCTTCAGGTGGTGCAGAACAAGTTCCTGCGGCGAGCCACGGGGGCCCCGTGGTACGTACGCAACGCAGATCTACATCGTGATCTAAAAATCCAGTCCATTCGCAAATTCATGAAGGAAGCGTCTCGACGCTACTTCAGCACCGCCGAAACCCACCCAAACCCGCTCATCGCTAAAGCGTGTGCGTACACCCCTAAGGAGAACGATAAACGCCGACGGCGACGCCCGAGGCACGCACTCATCGACCCCGACGACCCCATAACGGCGGTGAACGACACCAGCGGGACCTCTTCCGCGGAACCTTCGTCCAGTCTCTCCGCGAGCACACACACGCCAACACATCGCACACACCGTCCCCGCCGGCGGGGACGAAGACCCAGCACACCCGGTTCGCGTCATCGACCGGGCAGACGTCTGCCCGTGCGCCGTTCGTATGTCTCGTCCGCCAACGCCGACGGCGGCGACCCCCCCCCTCGATCTACCGACCCCTGCCCTGACGGGGATCGAAGTGCGGTGGCCTGAGTCGAGGTTCGAGCCACTAGGGCGCCCTCGGGCGCAAACACCGCAGTCCATCTGAAAGAGCTGACGCCTCACGTCGCTCCCCTCTCGCGGGCTTGGAGTGCCTTCAGCACTCGCCCCTGCACACGCGCTCGGTGAAGCTGTAAAGGCCATCTGCGGCCAACAGCAAAAACTGTACGAAAAAAAAAAAAAAAAAAAAAAAAAAAGTCGAGCGGCATTCGCTTCCGGGCAGCGACGCACTACACTCGAGAAGAAATAGGACAAGAAAAAATACTCTCTTCAGACGGTACCGGAGGCTTCAGAATAGTAATCGCTGTGTTTCACTCCAGCCTGAACCAACGCCCCTACAGTCCACGCTCACCGAACGGCAGTCCACACCGTTCAAGTTGTGAGTGATTCCTTTATAACTTCTATATTTATTTCTTATAATTTCTGCATCTTTTTTATGCGTAAACACTGATTTTATTTATTAAATAATACGTCAAGATACATTGTATGCGTAAGTATATACAATACTAATAAAAAAACGAGGCAGTTATTTTTTTTTTATACAACTTAGAATAGCAAACAAGCTGACGGCCCACCTGATGGAAAGTGGCAACCGTTGCCTATAGACATGAGCAGTACCATGGACATAACAGAGTATACTGTTTCGCACATGATACCCCCCATGCGTTGCTATTCCTGAGGACTCAAGTGTTATTCCTCTGTACCCAGTAAATTCACGCCATATCCCACCCTTCAAACCGAAACACCGCCATGCAAACACAACTGCTTCACGGTAGAAACACGAATGGGACAGAGGTATCCAAGAAATCGACTTTTGTACAAAGTCTCCCTCTGGTTTTTGAGGCTCGATGCTCTATCTGTATAATCTAGAATGAAATAAAAAAATTCTAATACACACGTGAATCCTGAAAATATGGGCAGCTGTGTAATTATTATTTTAATTTATTTTTAAATATAAGGTTGCCTGCAAGAAATCGTTTTTAGCGATAAGGTCGCCCATTGTTTTCTCACTGTGATCATTTCTTGTAATTGTTTATATTTATAATAAGTTTACTATTGTAATCTTTTGGAGGCAATAAAGAGTCTACTTTTTATTATTATATTTATCTAAATCCCATTATGATTCGTGTACAGAAGGTATTTTAGCCTATTTGGTCTGGTCAAGCCACGTCAGTTCATCAGTCTAATATAATAATAATATATTTTTTAATAATGTTGTCATTACAATTAATAATTTTAGTAAAGTACCAGCCCTATCTTCTCCAGGGGTGCTCGAAGCATTAAAAAGCGCATCATACGATTGCGGGGCCTGTCCACCCCTCGGGTTTCATTAAATCGGATGTTATGAGGGAACTTGTTACTTTTGATGTCATTAAACGATACTTTTTGAAGCACAAATTGTTTAAAGTTATGTTTATTTTTGACATGGCGCGAAACTAAGGCTGAATGTGTTGTTGGCTTTGCTTTGCACATAGATACTTCAATTATCTAATAATCTTCAGTTTTTTTAACTTTTTTTTTATTTTCTTTGCGTCTTAGTAACGTGGCTGAGGATCGCGTCACTTCGAACAAAGAAAAAATGTTTGTTTGAAATCTATGCAAGTTATATTGAATTTGAAGATTTTACACAATAGAGTAGATAGATATTTTAAGGTACCTAATAATATTAATATTTTAGATACAGGCGAAATAATGTTTATACAATTGTGCAGCATTATGAAAACTAATTATTATTATTTTTATTCTATTATGTTGATTTTTCTGGGGTTTGCTAGGTATAGGTAGGGTAGGGCGGGGCTAGAAGTCCCAATTTTCACTACTACATACATAGATTGTAAAATAGAGTACTTACAGTCAACAAAAGCAGTTGCAAAAACCTTATACAAATTAGCTTTACACTTAAATAATAAAAAGCATGACTATTTATTTGATTTATTAAAAATTTTGAGTTAAAGGCAAGATGGAATTTTGTACTTTTTGCCCCCCTCGCGGGGTAAAAAGTCCCACGCTAGGGGTAAAAAGTCCATTCGTCTTAATGGCTAAGTAGATTGATCAATTAGGGTAAATGAAATAAGATTATTTGAAAATCAATATCTTTTATTTGAAATTAAATATTTTAATAGTTATAATCAAGATAATCTCAAGAATGTTATCAAATAACATAAACTTAGAAAAACAATCAATTAAAGGATCCATCACGAACGAAGTGATCGTGATAATTTTTCCTCGGAAAAATAAACATCGGAGGGATATGAGAACCTGTAGCCGAGATTGCTACTATAATGGTGACATTAGTGCCCCTTTCTCCAGATGTAACAGAGCCAACGTTGCGTTTTCCTTTCGCAGCAACAATTTTTGAAGGCTTTAACACAGTCGAAACTCCAGTTTCATCTATATTCCAAACAGAAGAAGCTGTAAATGTATACTTATCCATTACTTGAGCCAGCTTATTAAAAAAATCATGAACATTTGAACGATTGAAGGAAGTCGCTCTACTGAGACTTGTAGCCTCGGGTTTTCGAATAGATAAAGATCGGTTCCTTTTTAAAAAAGCTGTCATCCAGTCTTTTCCTGCCATTTTATTTTTCTGCCAAGAATCAGGTACAGTAATTACAAATTTAATAGCACAATCATATGCTAAGCGACGTACATCTTTAGGACCCAGGCCATAAAACATTTGAGCAACCATAAGCAGATAATCGCTTAAACTCTTCTCTTGATCTGCAGTAAAAATTTTACGTGTAGGAAGGTATCCAAAAGTTACATTATTTGGTTCTTTCTTGTATCGCGCAATAAACCTTTTAAGGGAATTCCTACAGATATTGTGGTCTCTTGCAGCTTGACACAGTTTTTTCTCACCATTAATTACCTCATTTGCAGCCCTCTTCATTATATCTAGTGACATAGTCCCTCTATCTGTCTTTTTCTTGTAATGACGCATTCTAAAACAACAAAAAAGCAATATTATTAAGTATGTTTATTGAAATAAAACATGGGGTAAAAAGTCCTCTCGCGAGGCAAGAAGTCCCATCGACGTACTTCTTGCCCCGTACCTACCTTCAGTGATTTACGCGGTTATAAAACAAAGACGGTTAATATCTAGAAAATATTGTTAGCATGCATTATTTATATATAGAATAACAGTGTAATACGAGCTTACCTTAATAATTTATTAAATTTCAATGCCGATGTAGGAAAAAAAACAAAAACAAAATTTTTTTTCACTTTTGAGTGCCAAAAAATTTCGTTAATCGTGTTACTCACATGTGCGTTTCGTTACGACTGGCGACTCTCGGCTTTGTACTCGCCCCTCACCCCGCTCCAAATCACGTAGATCTTTTGTTTCTAGTGTGCTTCTATAATGAGATACGTATGTTGGGACTTCTTACCCGCCGGACTTTTAGCCCCGCCCTACCCTACTATACGTTAGTTTTTTTTATATTGTCAATATAAGGATAGTGCCGACTCTTTACAGAATATATTTGAATTTTGAACGCGGAATTGTGTGTCTACAAATAGATTTTTCTTCGCAGAGCCCAATTATCTTAAATTGTGGAATCAGGTTGGGTGTAAACTCAATGTATGGCAAAAATAATTTATCATAATTTGTTCAGAATGGGCGATGTAATCGCGTAGATAAACAACGAATCGAAAACCTCCTTCTTTTGAAATTTGGAAGTCGCTTTAAAATCTTATTTGCTAAGATACAAATACTATCATTAATCTATGGGCATGACAATAATTCTACCAAACTCCACTTAAATCACTGGGACAGTGATTTAACAGTCTGCATTACTAACAATTCCTTACCCCTACGCATGACACGTTAGTCCTCTGGAATGGCAACGCATGGCGGGTATCACGGGCGAAACATGTCTGGGCGAATCTGTTATGTCCATGGTAATGCTCATGTCTATAGGCGACGGTTACCACTTTCCGTCAGGTGGGCCGTCAGCTTGTTTGCCATTTTAAGTCGTATAAAAAAAAAGGCCCAATGCTCTACCGTAAAATGAAAGGCCCCAAGTAAATTAGACAGATTCTTTGCTTGAAAAGGTCCTTTGCTCTACCTTAAAGTTTTTACTTCAATTATAAATTATGAAAGTCTTTAAAAATGGCAATATTTCATACATTGATCGTGGCAAAATCTAAGGACTCATTTAGTTTTTAAAACAAAATAACTAGGGGGAAAGGGATTATTAGTAATGGGGTCAAATGGCCCCATTACTAGCAATATACTTACCCTGTAAGGACGACCTCCACGTAGTTCCCCCTGGAAACCATCGTGACTAATTCTAGTTGAATTCGTCAGGATGGACTAACTGACCTGCTTTCATCCTCATCAGTCATCTATCACTGGTGTCCCGCCAGTGTATACCGATAGCGCAGGCGGGGTGGGGGGAAAGAGATTGGGTCAACCCATTGCTAGCAAAACACCCGATCAGGTCGACCTCCACGCGGTTCCCCCTAAAAACCGTTGTAGTTGTTTGGAGGAAATAAATAACAACTAACTTGATTATATGACTGATTCACATATAATGAGAGAATGACAGCAGAAATGAACGTGAGAAGTAAACGTGGCCGTCATGTCTGTATGTCCAGTGCGATAGATAGAAACATGGTGAAATATCTATGTACAATTAAATTAACCTACTTGATGGAAAAGAAAGTAATGATGTTGACAAGTGGCTGTGAGATGAATATTTACAATATTTATTTACAGACGCCACACCGTAGTGGTTAATTCTAGTGGAATTTACCACGATGGATGCCTTTTCATCCTGATCTATCATACTGATGTACTATGGTCTGGGTGTACTAGGCTGATGTTCACCCAGATGTTCACCGCCTGGTTCCTCTTTACACAGGATATCCTGGCTTGAGGACTAGGCAATTGGTATAATTGTGTGACAGTTATTATACTGTTATTGTAATCTGGCAACTTTCAGAAACAAATGTACAATGTACCTATACTTTTTTTTTTGTGTGAAAATGGTATGGTAACCCCGCCTGCGCTAACGGGATACGTATCCCATTAGCAGGTCAGTTAGACAATCGTGACGAATTTAACAAGAATTGTTCTAGCAATGGGGATGGGTAATTCCTCAATGAATTCATCACGATGGGCTAACTGGCCTGTTTTCATTCTCATCTATCACCCTTCACTGGTGCTCCGCCAGCGTATCCCGTTAGCGCAGGCGGGGTTATTATACCATTTTCACCCATCAAAAAAAAAACCCCATTGCTAACAATCCCTTCCCCCCTTCACTCTGTACTCAAATATTTCTTTTAATTACAAGTATAATTAATTAAAATCCTAATTATTATTACCTAATTATTAATTTTTTTTTTCAATTCGGTTTAAAATATAGAATATTGTTCCATATCCTTGACAAAATATTAGTTTTTGTAGTTTTCCTAAACATTTGACAGACTTTTTTTTATTTATTTTTTTTATTTAGAGGCTTTTATCCTATAATAGGGGTGACATCCGTCCGAAATTCCCCGGATTTGTCCTAGTTTGAAGGGTGTCCGGGGGCCGTCCGGCAGGGGTTTCTGTGAAAAGTTTACGGGTGTAACCCGGTTGTCAGACGCTTTTGTTGTCAGGGGAAATCCAATTTTTTTTTATAGGTAGACGATCAATTGAAATAAATCTTAGTTACAAATTCATTCACAATAACCCTGTTTTTTTATAACAATGTTTTTATTTCTGTTACAAAAAAAAATTTTTCAGAAGTGTCCGGGGAAAAAAACATATTTCGTCCAAATGTCCGAGGTTTTTTCCATGTTTGTCCGGTGTCGGCAATTTAGGTGATGGCGGCACTATCCTATGAGGACATGTCAACCGCATCATCACCCTAATCTTAAAAAGTACTTCACATACTTAATACATTAATACATAAATAAATAATAAATAATACCTTGTCTTTTTTTTATACAACTTAGAATGAAAAACTAGCTGACGGCCCACCTGATGGAAAGTGGTAACCGTCACCTATAGACATGTTGTTACGCCACTGTGTGTATTTATACAATTAAATATAATGTAATTAATTTAATTTTGTCTAGTTTGTTTCTAAATTGTCCCAATATTGTACACCTCTCTACCCGCTGACATTGATGCTCCTCTCCACTTTGGGTGTTGCTGGAAGAGAACTCTATTAGAGTTCAGCTCGCCTTTGTACATTTGATTACCTCTGTCATACTTTTATGTACAATTGGTGTGTACAATAAAGTATTAAATAAATAAATGCAATAAAGATTTTGCCATTCCGATTTGACAGACTTGGATTTAGCTGTCTTTGACTTTATATACGTCATATAAATTAAAATGCATAGGTAGTTAAAGAGAGAGAAATACCAAGTAAAACACAAACATTCCGATTTATAAAATATCATTGTGAATAATGGATGATTTAATTAAATATCTAACAAAACAGTTCGGTGGCTGAGAGTCGCGTCTTCGTATCTCTAAGAACTCAAGTATCGGGCACAGATTATGATATTAAATTGTTTCTGTTGCGCGGAAGGTGGGGGTGGGGATGGGAGGGGGGAAGAATGGAGCCAGGCACGGATTGAGATTTATTTATTTATTTATTTGAAAATTACTCACCACACTTACAGTCTCCCAAAACGTGTAGTGAGCCATAGGTTTATTTTACAAACTTACAAATTGTGTACAATATTTTAAAAATATATCCATTTTGTCATTAAATATGTCAATATCTGGCTGCTGAGCAATCAGAGAATTGAGCAGAGAGATAGCCTGATAAGTGGGAGCAAACTGAGCAGTACAGGTGCGAGCCGGCGGTGCCGATAGTAGTCGACAAGCACGCAATCGCAGGCAGCGTCGGGGTGCGTACAAAGAACAACGGCAACGGAGGTCATGGTTCTAATTGATTTAACTTTTTTTTTATGTAATGGCAACACGGCCTGTTCTAGCATTAGTCTTGATGGCAAACGATCACTGTTGCCTGTTTGAAAATATTTAAAAAATTCTATAATGTAGAGAATTTAAAATTTTATTACTAGTTTTTTTTTTATAACACATGCAAATCTTTTTTTTTTTTTTAAAAAAAAGAATGTGCTTTTTTCTTGAAGGTTACTGTTGCAACTGTTTGTAATTCTGAAAGTAAACGCTCATTGCTTTTGTTTTCTTTTTTTTTTTTTATTAAATTTCATTGCTCTATCTAAATAAAGGTAGGTGTTCTTAAATTCTCTTACTGGATATGATAAAAGGTGCTTGTCAACTTTTTTAGTATTCTTAGACACAATGTGAAAAATAGATAGATACTCTTTCTTGTTTTCTCCAAAAGATTACAATAGTAAACTTATTATAAATATAAACAATTACAAGAAATGATCACAGTGAGAAAACAATGGGCGGCCTTATCGCTAAGAGCGATCTCCTCCAAATACATATGTATATGTATAATAATGTGAATATACAAATATATAATATATAAATGTACATTGTAATTAAAATTTGGCACAGAAGGAAAACCGCGGAAAAATATAGTCAGTTCGCAATAAAGCTTAATGTGCCCTGTAGTCCGTCACTGCCTCAATCAAAGGCTTTGCCGACCGCAAATCACTGCGGAACCACACCCCCAAATCTGGCCCCGCCCCCGCCCGCGCAGGCGCAACAGCGGCCAATCAGCGCCCACGCCACTCACCCTCGCTATGGCCGCCAAAATTGGCAATCATGCACCCTCAATTGACCGCTAAGCGATGTCATTTTTTTCGCGCCAAACCGATCGCACGACGTGCGGCCCCGCCCTTCCAATTTTAAAATTTTCATTTTTTAATTATTAAACCGCAGGCAAACGTGACCGGGTCGCCAGTGCGCGCGCTCGTCTAATGCCCGTAATACACAGTCAAACTAATTAAGACATAAATTAACAACATTAACCGAATAAACCTTAATTATGTGACTAAATTAAAAATGGTGTTGTTTATGATAATCGACTATTTAATTTCTTGCGCTCACTGTTAAAATTTCACAATGATGGATCAAAGGCAGAACATTTATCCGGCTAATTTGACGGATTTGTTAGCTGTGTCGGCGTACCAGCAGAACTGCGACAGGCTGTCGATGAAAGCCGACGGCGAAGAGAAATACAATGGAGACAGTTTCGCCGACAGTGCGGACCGTTTTGTGGACAGTGGCGACCGTTTCGCCGACAGGTCTTCGTCGCCAGCGTCCACTTTGGACGACGGCGAGTCAAGTCAGTCGGCGTTCGGCGTCGACTTGACGGGAAAGTCTACCAATTTGGCGGGAAAGTCGTTCACCATTGCCGCCATATTGGGCCTGACGAATTCCGAGGAAGATGTAATGAATTTAAGCGTGCAGGAACGCTTGCAACATAACCAACGGCATTTACAGACATATTTATACGCAGGTCAAGATATGCAGAGGTTCAATGACGGTTTCTGCAGAAGTATGGTAGGAGTCTCTGCAGGTTTAAGACAAGGTAAGCTTGGTTTTTTATTTTCTAGAAACTTAACTACAATATAACAGGCGGGGGGAAAGGGATTATTAGTATGTAGACTGAGAATCCCATTGCTAGCAATGTACCCAACCAGGTCGACCTCTTCGCGGTTCCCCCTGGAAACTATCATGGTTAATTCCTGTTGAATTCATCATGATGTGCTAACTGGCCTGTTTTCATTCTCATCTATCACCCTTCACTGGCGGGGCAGCGTATACCGTTAGCGCAGGCGGGGTTACCATACTATTTTCATCCGTTCTCTAAAAGGTTTTTAATACGATTGTATTTTTTTTTTAATATATTTGTTACCTCACAACTGCATCAGTAAACCGATTTGGAACATTATTTATTATCTGAAAGGAATAATTAAAATAAAATTTTTGTCAAAATTGACTCGATAGTTTAGTTTCTACACGAAAACAACTTTTTGTTTTTATACAACTTAGAATGGCAAACAAGCTGACGGTCCACCTGATGAAAAGTGGTAACCGTCGCCTATAGACATGAACAGTACCATGCACATAACAGAGTACCTATACTGTTTCGCACATGATACCCCTCATGCGTTGCCATTCCTGAGGACTCAGGTGTTATTCCTCTGTACCCAGTAAATTCATGCCATATCCCACCCTTCAAACCGAAACACAGCCATGCAAACACAACTGCTTCACGGTAGAAACACGAATGGGTCCGAGGTAGGTACCTAAGCAATCGACTTTTGTACAAAGTCTCCCTCTTGTTTACAAGTGGTAAACTGGTTTGTCACAAAAAAATATACCGACTGCAAAATCGTTTTTTTTTTTTGTTGTATGACACAATCTTTAATTAATGGACATTTCATATATAATGTCAATAAATAAATATATAATAATAAATTTCAATAAATATGACAACAATAAGCTAATTAAAAAATACCACTTAGGCTATAGTTGTACCGTGTGTGCCCCGGTATAGAATGGACCACTCCTTCCTTGAAATGAAATGAAATGAGTTTATTTGCATTATTAAACAGTTTAAAATTATTACAAGCCACGTGGTATTATTCTGGCACCTGTTTAATTGTCTTAAAGGATGTAGGCATGCAAATATTTTACATTTCATATAAAAAAGAAAAAACCGATAAACAAAATTATAATTCATTTACATTATTTAAATTGACCTTTTATATTAAAAGTCTACATTATAGTACATTATGTCATTTATACATATATCTACACATAACAACTAATAAAATAAATTTACAAAATAGAAAAAATGTCAATACAATTGGTAAAAAATAATTAAAACGTCACGCCTTTCCCGTGGGTGTTGTTAAAGGCGACTAAGAGAAGGCGAGGGATGGGCAGCAGCGTCCTACTTAAAACATCTTAAGCTTTAGCTTGACTACGGTTGTCAACCAGCCTGCCAAGCGTGGCTACCACTGGCAAAACTCCCCCTATGGGAAAGGCTTATATCCAACAGTGGACAGTTAGCGATAAATGGTATAATGATATAAAAAAGCATAGCTATAGTTAGTAAAAATTGAATTAGTTACGGTCTAGATCAGGAGTAGGGAGACTTTGTACAAAAGTCGATTGCTTGGGTACCTCTGTCCCATTCGTGTTTCAACCATGAAGCAGTTGTGTTTGCATAACTGTGTTTCGGTTTGAAGGGTGGGATATGGCGTGAATTTACTGGGTACAGAGGAATAACACCTGAGTCCTCAGGAATGGCAACGCATGGGGGTATCATGGGCGAAACAGTATACTCTATTATGTCCATGGTACTGCTCATGTCTATAGGCGACGGTTACCACTTTCCATCAGGTGGGCCGTCAGCTTGTTTGCCATTCTAAGTTGTATAAAAAAAAAAAAAAAAAAAAAAAGAGTGATCGACTTGACTAGACTCGAGATCTATTGTTTACTAATAAAACTCTGCGATGTACCAATTACATACTTGTTGAAATCTCAAATGAAACAATATAGTTCTATAATGTTTCCTCCTATTATTGTACGCACACTGCCCGCTAGTAATTAATGCTCCTTTCCACTCAGGGTTTGCTGGAAGAGAACTCTTACAGAGTTAAGCTCGCCTCCATGTTGTACATCTTTATTTTATATATATATTATATGTTGTAATTTTTTGTGTACAATAAAGAATAAATAAATAAATAAACAAAATAGTTCAGTACATAATTATATAGAGTTTGAGGGAGACTTTGTACAAAAGTCGTTTGCTTGGGCATCTTTATCCCATTTATGTTTCTACCGTGAAGCAGTTGTGTTCGGTTTGAAGGGTGGGATATGGCAGTGAACTTACAGGGTACAGAGGAATAACACCTGAGTCCTCAGGAATGGCAACGCCACGTAATTTTAGACATAGTACATTTAAATAAATACACACATAGGCAGCAGCGTCTCTCTTAAAACATCACCGAATCCTAACTGCGGTTGACACGGGGGAAAGGGATTGTTAGTAATGGAGACTGAGAATCCTATTGCTAGCAATATACCCAACCAGGTCGACCTCCTCGCGGTTCCCCCTGGAAACTATCATGGTTAATTCCTGATGAATTCATCATGATGGGCTAACTGGCCTGTTTTCATTCTCATCTATCACCCTTCACTGGTGCTCCGCCAGCGTATCCCGTTAGCGCAAGCGTTGTTAACATACCATTTTCAGCCATTAAAAAAAAATACACTTGGAATTCAGTCCAATTTCTACCAATCCCTACCCCCACCAGTTATAATTGAAATAATAGTTTGATGAACATGTGAAATACGTGTCGCAAAACGTGCGTGAGCAAAATGACAGTCGAAAATTGATGTCTAATATGGAAGGTTGTGGAACGTCTGCTAGTAATAGTGGTGGTCAATCGAGTGTTGCCAGTCGCACGCATACTAATGATTCTAATCAAATAATCTCTTTAAAAGGGGGTTCTTCAAAAGGGGGGGTAAAGAGGTTTCTTCAGGGTCGGCAACGCGCGCGTAATACCTCTGGTATTGCAAGCGTTCATAGGCTACGGTAACCGCTTATCATCAGGTAGGCCGTATGCTTGTTTGCCACCTCGGTGGTATAAAAAAAAACTCTATTGTTTATGAGGATTGATATAAAGATAGGAAAACAAGCAGCGGACAGCAGCTGTATATTTTGGAAAATAAAAATCAAAATTAGGTCGATCCCGAGGGTCTATTTCTCTAAATTTATCTCTTATAATAAATTAAACGACAATTAAATGACGGGGAAAAAAGGTTCTTGAGCGGCGACCGCGTGCGAGCAAACGCAGTGTAGGACCACCGCCCACTAGGTGGAGTGAGACCTGAAATGCATTGCAGGGAGTCAGTGGATACAGGTGGCTCGGGACCGTTCTCAATGGCAGTCTATGGGGGAGGCTTTTGTCCAGCAGTGCTGACGGACAATAGCTGAAATGATGGTGAAAGATGATAAATTAAACTTTTTGAAAAAAAGCAACAGCTGAGTTCGTTGCCCGTTCCTCTTGGCTGAAATTGCGTTCCGAATAGGCGGTAGTGAAAAAAGAAATGACTGTACAAAATAGCTTAAATCTAAGTTTACTTGAATAAAAAAAATTCCATATTTTTTTTTTCTTTTTTAACCTAATATTTTTATTTGGTGATTACTGGTGATTACTATTTTACGGATCGCCATAAAGAGAAAAAATAAACATAGTATTTGTCACTATAGATATACTATTAGAAATTTAAATCATATTGGTCCTTTTTGCTGCAGCATCATATTGAAATTTTAGTTTTAAAAATAGGTTTAGAGCAGTTTATCAACGTGTGGGTCGCGACTCCCTGGGGGGTCACAAAGCCTCTATAGGGGATCGCGAAAACTATCTCAGTAAAAAAGTACAAAGTAATAAAAATAGATTTTTCCATGAATAATGATAATTAAAACATTTGTGTGTTAATACAAATTAACGGAAATATAAGCCGGAGGTCGCGTAATATTTTTTCCATACCAGGGGATCGTGGCAGTAATAAAGTTGAAAAACAAGAATAGGAGTCTTAGAATCGCTTTTAATGGACTGTTAGAAATAATCTAATAACAAGGAATTACATGAAAGGAGTGATAAAATTGTCAATTCATAGCAAGCTAGTGTATAGAAAATGTTATACGGCCATATAACCCTATCGAATTCAGATACAACCTGCTTGCATACTTTCTACATAAACTGTGTCGTATATATAATCTAGTAATGTAAAATTTGTCATTGACAAATAATTGATATATCAAACATTTTCTATACACCAGCCTGCTATGAATTGAGAAAAATAGCAACTGATGGTGTATCTTTCTTTCTCTTTTTACTAATTATATTTGCATAAGAAGAAAGGAGGCAACCATATGATTCACAGTTTTTATTTTATCATTCCTTCTATGTAGTTCCTTGTTCTTAGGAAATAATAGACAGAAAGTAATGGATTAAAAAATAAAAATAATTCTTTTTTCGAATTAATTTTTCTACGTTGTATCAGATAGATTCCGATAGAACATTAGGGTCGAAAAAAGAAATCCACGTTGTGGATACACGTATTGTGCCAGATAGACTGCGATCAAACATTAGGGTTGATAGAAAAAAGTAATAGATTTAAGAAAAAAAAAAATTTAACTATTATAAAGAAATATAAAAAAGTCCCCCTTTTAAATACTGGATGTGACAAATAGTGCTTCACATGGTCCTGAAAATTATACAATAAATACTATTGTAACAGCCGGTATCTGTCCACTGCCGAACATAGCCTCCCCCATAAGGGGGGTTGTTAGTAGTTGCTACGTTTGGCAAGCGATTTGGCAACCGCAGTTTGGATGTTTTAAGAGGGACACTGCTACCTATCCTTCCACCATAAGTTTCCTTAATTATACAATAATAAATATTGAGTTAAGCATAATGCCATTTTATCTTTTGCTATTTACCGGCCCCTGTTTGACGTCAACCCTGCATGGGAATGCATTTGATGGTGGTATTTTTTTTTATACAAGTTAGAATGGCAAACAAGCTGACGGTCCACCTGATGGAAAGTGGTAACCGTCGCCTATAGACATGAGCAGTACCGTGGACATAACAGAGTATACTGTTTCGCCCATGATACCCCCCATGCGTTGCCATTCCTGAGGACTCGGGTATTATTCCTCTGTACCCTGTAACTATCTAGTAGTATCTAGCACCTATGGTATGGAAGAAAGGATCGAGTGAGACTTTGGAAGTGAAATGAAGTAAATGAAAGTAAATGGTGCGGTTTAATTCTCGGTGAATTCGTCACGATGGGCCAACATTCATGGGACCTGCTTTCATCCTCACCTATCGCTGACTGGGGTCCTGCTTACCAACATATCGTCACAGTCGTAGAATACTGACGGATCTGACGAATATTACATATAAAGATCCGTCAGTATTCTACCACTATGACGATATTTCTGTTACCGTTATTCTTCCTTTAAAGAAGATTTACTTACTGCTTATTGGTAAACGTTAGGGGAAAGGGATTGTTAGTAATGGGGATCTAAAAGTTCCATAGCTAGCAATATACCCTATCAGGCCGACCTCCATGTAAGTCCCTTTCGAAAACATTTTGATTAATTCTTGTAGAATTCGTCACGATGGGCTACTAACTGGTCTGCTTTCATCCTCACTTATCATCCTTCACTGGTGCCTTGTCAGTGTAGACTGACAGCGCAGGCGGGGTTACCATTCCATTATCATCCATAAAAATCCCTGTTAATGATTAATTGATGATTTCTGTTAACAGACAGTCCGAGATCGGACTTGAGGCCGCAGGTGGGGCAACTGAAGCCTTCCAGGAGTCACTCGATGTCGTGTAGCAATAGGTAAGCGTTAGATGAAGCATGCGGCAGAGGGAGACTTTGTAGAATAGTTTGCTTGGCCACCTCTGTCCCATTCGTGTTTCTACCGTTAAGCAGTTGTGTTTGCATGGCTGTGTTTCGGTTTGAAGGGTGGGATATGGCAGTGAATTTACAGGGTATTGAGGAATAACACCAGAGTCCTCAGGAATGGCGACGCATGGGGGGTGTCATGGACGAAACAGTATACTCTGTTACGTCCATGGTACTGCTCATGTCTATAGGCGACGGTTACCACTTTCCATCAGGTGGGCCGTCAGCTTGTTTGCCATTCTAAGTTCTTTCTTGAAGGCTTCCTTCTTCGCTGTTGATTATGTTTTTTTTTTTTTTTATAATCTTAATAGTATACAACCTAAAGAACTCCTAAACTAGAGGGCGCCACTCTTACACAAGCGTTATTAAATTGAAATATCGTATTCCATATTGCTTCCAGTTCAGGTAGAAGTAAAAGAATACGTACCATCTTCACACCAGAACAGCTGGAGAGACTTGAGGCGGAGTTTGAAAGGCAGCAGTATATGGTGGGACCCGAGAGACTATACTTGGCGCATGCGTTGCAGCTAACGGAAGCACAAGTAAGTATACCATCATGTCAGTCTGTAATATCTCTATTGGGAGGTTTTGGAGTAGTAGCCCAGCGTTGGCAGTTTGGCAAGCGGGTTGGCAACCACTTAGGCTTTACTAATGTTTAAAGAGGGAGACTTTGTATAAAAGTCGATTGCTTGGGTACCTCTGTCCTATTCGTGTTTCAACCGTGAAGCAGTTGTGTTTGCATGGCTGTGTTTCGGTTTGAAGGGTGGGATATGGCGTGAATTTACTGGGTACAGAGGAATAACACCTGAGTCCTCAGGAATGGCAACGAATGGGGGGTATCATGGGCGAAACAGTATACTCTGTTATGTCCATGGTACTGCTCATGTGTATAGGCGACGGTTACCACTTTCCATCAGGTGGGCCGTCAGCTTGTTTGCCATTCTAAGTTGTATAAAAAAAAGACATTCTAATAGGACGCCATTTTATGCCGAGACAACATGACGTCATAATTCTTATACATTATTATATAAAATACTCTGTTATATAAAATATAGCAGACAATGGGATCGATTCTGTTGTACCATTCCTCAAAATTTATCACTTAACATTTTAATTTGATAATTTTGCGACATTACTGTTTTATCGTCGTCATAAATTAATAATATAACAATTTTTATTCAAATTTATTGGAAAATTAGTTGCTATTGGTTCATAAAACAAAAATGAGGCTGTTATTTCAACTTGAAATATTTAGAGGAAAATTTTAAAGTAGCGCTTCAGAATCGACCCTTATGATAATGGAATGGTAACCCTGCCCGCGCTATCGGTATACTCTGGCGGAGCACCAGTGAGGGGTGATAGATGAAGATGGAAGCAGGTCAGTTGGTCTATCGTGATGAATTCACCAGGAATTTGTAAGTTATATGGGGGTGTCTTATTAAAACCGCTATTCCCATATATTTTTCTTAAATATCTCCTATGTACAGACATTATTCAGTTACATTTTTATTAATTACACTAGCTGACATGATAACTTGGAGGGTAAGATATTGTTAGTAATGGGGTTTAATTGACCCATTGCTAGCAATACACTCTATCAGGTCGAACTTCACGCGGTTTCCCCTGGAAACCGTCGTGGTTAATTCCATTATCACCCATTAAAAAATACCATTCCATTATCACCTATTAAAAATACCATTCCATTATCATCCATCAAAAAAAGACATGGTAACTTTGTATTACTTATAACGCCATCTATTGATAGTCATACTAAGTAGCGATTTCCATACAAAATTTTTTTTTATTCAGCTGAACTTAAGGGTTTTTCTGATTTTCTTTTTTCTTAAAAATTATTCATCTAAACAGAGGTCATGCCGTTTTTGAGTTTTAGCGAGACTAAGATTTTATTTGTTTCCAGGTAAAAGTGTGGTTTCAGAACCGCCGAATCAAATGGCGTAAACACCACCTCGAGGTGACGCAGCAGAGGCTCGCGGTCCTCCAGCGGCACAGGCCAGAGCGGGACGACGACATGTGAACGTAGCTTTGTACTGTGACGACTCTAATGAGAACTCTTGTATTTATTTATCGGTGAAGTGTACGAGTGATGGGTACGATTTACAAAACAAGAATTGGTGTAATTGTTAAACGCATTGAAACGCAGAAATCAGGGCGTGTATTTTAAATTTTCAATAACTAGGACTTTATTGCTCGAATTTCAAAAAAAATATTTCAAATCACGCGTCAATTTCAAATAATATTTTTTTTTTATTATTATTTATTTATTTATTCATAGGAAAACCAGGGCTAGACTAGAGCAAAAAATACAGTTTAGGATCACAAAATAAGTCAGTAATAGGCTTTCACAAGTAGCAACAATATAGATACAAGGCGTTAAGTACACAATGAAACAAAAATAGAGGTTAACAAAAAAAAAATGAAGTTAAATAAAAGCTTGTAAAAAAAAATTAACAAACAAGAACGAAACCATTTAGATGACTTTTCTGAGATCATATTGCATACAGTTTGTTACTCTCGGTCACAATGTGCGGAAGATCGGTGATTATGTAGATTTAACGTCGTGAGACGATATAGATACAAGGCGCTGTATACAAAGCAACGAAAATAGGAGTTAACAAAAAATAAAATACGAACAAACAAGAACGAAAACAAAAAAAAAAATTATAAAATACAAAGTAAAAGTTAATTACAAGTATTTGATTAAAATATGGCCTTCTTGTTCTGTTAATAATTGAATGTATTTTTATAATTGCTTAAATTATCATAGTGTAGTTTTGACTGCGTGAATTTTACGAGAAGGTAATAGCGGAATTTTAGTATATCTAATATATAAAATTCTCGTGTCGCGGTGTTTGTTACCAAACTCCTCCGAAACCGCTTTACTGATTTTCATGAAATTTTGTGTGCACATCGGGTAGGTCTGAGAATCGGCGAACATCTACTTTTCATACCCCTCAATGATAAGGGTGACCCACCCCTAAAAATTTTTTTTATATTTTTTTGACAAAATTTTTAATTGTGTTTTAAATATGATTTAGTATTGAAAAATACATACAACTTTAAATTTTCATCGTTTTACGATCAACTCCCGTATTTTAATCGCGATTTTTATATTTCGCAATAAGTGGTAAAACAACGTTTACGGGGTCAGCTAGTTTTTTTATAACATAGAATGGTAAAAAATCCTTTGAGCATATGTTACTGCTCACCTGATAGTGTTTACCGCCGCCCATAGACACCCGCAATATCAAAGATATTGCAAGCGTTTTGCCGGCATTTTAGGAAAGATAATGAACTTTTCTTCATGATTTCAAAGTCTCTTTTCGGAAATACTGCTGCTGGTAATTGGTTCCGTACTTTAATTTGTATAGACAATGTTATACGATAAAAATATATACACCAGCCTGCTATGAATTGAGAAAAATAACAACTGACGGTGTATCTTTCGTCCTCTTTTTACTAATTATATTTGCATAAGAAAAAAGGAGGCAACCATATGATTTACAGTTTTTATTTTATCATTCTCTTTATATAATTCCTTGTTCTTAGAATGAAATTCAGCGGCTGATATCAATTAGCCGTGAAGCAGTTGTGTTTGCATGGCTGTGTTTCGGTTTGAAGGGTGGGATATGGCGTGAATTTACAGGGTACAGAGGAATAACACCCGAGTCCTCAGGAATGGCAATGCATGGGGGGTATCATGGACGAAACAGTATACTCTGTTATGTCCATGGTACTGCTCATGTCTATAGGCGACGGTTACCACTTTCCATCAGGTGGGCCGTCAGTTTGTTTGCCATTCTAAGTTGTATAAAAAAAAATCTGTTAATAAAACCGGCACTATATTTTATTTTATTTTGTTTTTTTTTTTTATAACACGAGCATGCGGCTCACCTGATGGTAAGTGACTACCGCCACCCTGAGCATCCGCAACACTAGAGATGTTTCTAATTAAGATGAAACTGTAAGATCCAATTTATATCATGTTTATTTTTGTATGTGACCCATTCATTTCTGCGTTCCACTGCAGCTGCTATGGATACCACAGTGACATGTGAACTGTTATATTACTTGTATGTACTGAGTAAAATAAAGTGTACGGAAAAACACGTTTTTAATATTCTTAATATATTAGTAAATTAGTTTTTTTTATATCCCCTCTCACCGTTCTGGTTACGCTTCAAACTCTTTTCTCCTACATTCATCACGACTCTGGAACGCGCTTCCTGATGCCATTAAGAGACTACCGACTAAACCGTCTTTCAAAAAAAACGTTCACGCTCACTTTTTATCTTTATCCGAGCAATAAGTGCTTTATATTATTCCTAAATTCGTGTATAATATAGTATATATCATATATGTGTAAGTATATTTGTTATTCATATATATTTATTCGTTTATATATGTAATTTTAGTATGTATGTATATCAATAATTACTAGTACCGCATTCGAGTATTCTGACACTTCCCTATGGTTGACTGGGAGAGAATGCTTTTAGCATTAAGTCCGCCATGTACACATATTTGTACTAATGAATAAATAAATAAAATAAATTATATTAGTAAGATGTATAGAAATCTGACATATGGTCCTGGCATAGAAAGGACCACCTTCCTGTCACGTGGGTGTCGTAAGAGGCGACTGAGGGAACTTAACGGTCAAGCAATGGACAGCAGCGTCCCCCTTAGAACGTCACCAAAAGCCAAACTGCGGTTCCTGTCGCAGTCGCAACTGTCGCCATCCAAGTATGGCGAATGTTTTCAGAATCCTCCAATGGTAAACTGACGTAAGGAATGGTCTCGTTCTTTATTGTTAAAACTATGGAGGAGGCCCAGCAGTGGCTGATAAAATGATGTTGGAAATCTGAGTTTCCAAATCTATCAGCTAGATGCGTTGTTGTGTTTTCCTTCAAAAAACCGAGTAGACTTGTACACAATGTAAATATTTTTTTAATTAGATCGAGGAAGTAATTAAATACGTTTAAACACTGGAATGTTTTTAATTAGTTTCATAAAGATATATTAGTAGTTACAAAGTTAAAATTTGACAAATATATATATATATATATATATATATATATATATATATATATATATATATATATATATATATATATATATATATCGGTGTTATTCCTCTGTACCCAGTAAATTCACACCATATCCCACCTTTCATATATTAGTAGTTACAAAGTTAAAATTTGACAAATATGTCTGTCTCATTCGTGTTTCTACCATGAAGCAGTTGCGTTTGCATGTCTGTGTTTCGGTTTGAAGGGTGGGATTTGGCAATGTGTTTATAGGGTACAGAGGAATAACACCGATATATATATATATATATATATATATATATATATATATATATATATATATATATATATATATATATATATTTATTTATTTATTTTCTAACGAAATATACCTAAGATGTGCTTTTACAATGGCTGTATAAGAAAATTTCATCGATGTACTAAGAGCGTACATGTACCTATTCTATAGGTTATAACATGATAGAGAATATACTAAAACTAAATTAAATTACTAAAACGTAACTTATGGACTCATCAATACATTTGATAGTGAGAAAAAACCCATCGAAAATATTAGATTGGCTTAAATTTAAAAAAAAAAAACCCATTTAATACAGTTTTTATTAAAAAAAAAAGAGCTGCTATAATATCTTTTGTTATATTACAAGCTATAATGTATAGCAGAGTATAGATAAAAAAAAAACAAAATAATGAGAAACAAATTAATTTATGTTCCCCTTTTAACAGATACCTAAGTCTAATACATAACAGCCATGATCACATTAATTTAGCTAATTCAATTATCTATTTAATTTAGTTACTTTAAATTAATTAAGTTAATTTATCTTAGTAATTACTAATTTTATTTTAATTAAACTATTTCATTTAATAAATAAAACTTTATACAGGCAGCAATGAGCACATTAATTTATTTATCAACTAAATTTAGTTGTTTTAATTTAAATTAATTAATTTTATTTAGTATAATTAAGTATTAATTTTAATTATATTAATTAAAATTAAATAATGTAGATAGATAAATAGATAGAATCTTTATTGATTCAATATAAAGGCCCACGGATCCAGAATCTCAACTCCAAATGCTGCAAAGTTTTCCATTTCCAAGGGATGAATATTTACGGTGCTTAATAGTCTTATGGTGTGTTGCGGCGACACCAGCCCTCTTCCTACATCCAGTACTTGCAAGATGAGACGGCGCCACCGTGTCTACGTAGCTGAAGTCCCATACAAGCGGACGCCCCATCCTCCAAGGTACCAAGGACATCCCGTCAGGTCTCTTGTCGACGAACCACGACGTTATACAATGGCAGGCATGCCCGCAGTGACAAGAGCCCGACGTAGACTGTCATTAATAGGTGAGTGGCGTAGCAAGTGCCCAGCTTTCTTAAGTCAAGAGAGGACATGGTGTCCCAAGGCACTAATGTTGCCCCACACCTGTAGCGGTAGAAGCATTCGTTTTGGCTCCCAATCTGAGAGAAATTGAGAGTCTAAACGTTGCGTTATCCAATAAATTTAATTTAATTTTTTAGTTAAATTAATTATTTGCTTAGTTTAATTAATTACTTATATAATTTAATTCTTTTTTTAAACTACAAACATTTTCACTATTTAATAGGAAATGTATTATGTGTGGGGCGATTCTCTCTGGGTAGTTCACGTGGACGTCGTGGTTTCCTAACACCCTCTTAACGTAATACTGTCTCTCACAGTCGTCTACAAACACGAAGTCAGCCATTTTGTAAGCGCCATTTTGTACAGAATCCTCAGCCAGTATGGACAGGGTGGGAGTGGCTATGGATGTGTACAATGCTTTGAGATATGCTGGGGGGAGTGGTGGTAGGGTGATCAGCTTCGCCCTTTGATCAAATGTGAATCTGAAATAAAAAGAAAAACAAAACAAACTTTTTTTTCTTCTTTACTAATATTTTAATATATAGGAATTTTTAGTGCTATGTTGTTTTTCCGCGACGAACTGTTAAAATACTGAACCGATTTTAATGTAATTTTGCACGCTGTGTGCAGTCTAGTTCAACTTGAGAGCGGAAATAAAAAAAATAATTATAATCAAGTAACCAGTAATATGGATTACCACAAAATAACATCCAGTACAATAAAGAGATAAATATATAGTTTACTTAGATTATATAAAAGATGGGTCTATCTTCGGACACACTGTGCAGACTGTGCGGGGAGAAATCGGAATCCATGGAACACTTGATGTGCAACTGCGATTCGTTGGCAAGTATGCGTATGAGTGTACTGGGAACGGCTTATCCGGAGCCAGGGGACTACAGATATCTTAAACCGCGGGATATCGTCAAGGTAACATAAAGGATCTATGAAATGATGGTATAAGGCAGGGGGAAGCACAAAAGATCCGTATGGGTCGACGTGCATTAGCTGACCCCATATGCGAAAAAAAAAAGATAAGATAGATTATATATAGAGCATCGAGCTTGAAAAACAGTTCAACTTTTTGTCAGCTAATTGTCAAATGAGCTGACTCGGTTTATTATCAGTATTCTATGTACTTACTTACGCATACAATATATCTTTAATATTTAATAAATAAAATGAGTGTTTGCGTATTAAAAAGACGCGGAAATTATAAGACAAAATAAATTTAGAAGTTATAAAGGAATCACTCATAACTATTTACCAGAGGGAGACTTTGTCCAAAAGTCGTTTTGCTTTTGCACCTCTGTCCCATTCGTGTTTCAACCGTGAAGCAGTTGTGTTTGCATGGCTGTGTTTCGGTTTGAAGGGTGGGATATGGCGTGAATTTACAGGGTACAGAGAAATAACACCTAAGTCCTCAGGAATGGCAACGCGTGGGGGGTATCATGTGCGAAACAGTATACTCTGTTATGTGCATGGTACTGTTTATGTCTATAGGCAACGGTTACCACTTTCCATCAGGTGGGCCGTCAGCTTGTTTGCCATTCTAAATTGTATAAAAAAATATTATCACGCAAAATTGTATGAAAAAATTGACCCGTTTTTCTAGAAGCATTTGTATGTAGACACTCTATGTATATAATTTAAGATAGTTTAATACCTCACTAGTCCCTTCCCAGCGGGCTCCAATATTCTCTCGAGAGCTGTTCTGGTTGCGTCGTCAGTTAGACCTCGGTTCTTCTTCATCATTTCAAACGCCTGTTGGATCAAACCAAGTCAAATATTTTTTTTATTTTTGTTCCATAGAATGATAAACAAGCTGATCGATTGATGGGTTAACTGACCTGCCTTTTTTATTCTCACCTATCATTCTTAACTGGTGCTCCGCCAACGTAAACAGTTAGTACAGGCGGGGTTACCATTATCATCATCAAAAACTGTGGTTGCCAACCCGCCTGCCAAGCGTGGCAATTTTTTTTTATAACACAGGGGGCAAACGAACATGCGGCTCACCTGATGGTAAGTGACTACCGCCACCCATGATCACCTACAACACCTACGGCATTGCAGGTGTGCTGCCGGCCTTTTAAAAAGGAATATACTCTTTTCTTGAAGGTTATGTTGTCGTATCGGTTCGGAAATACTGCTGCTGGAAGTTGATTCTAAAGAATGGTTGTGCGTGGAAGAAAGTGCCTTGAAAAACGCACGGTGGAGGACCGCCACTCGTCCAGATGGTTGGGATGAAATTTTAGTTTATGGTGGGTTGTACGGTGGTGAAAATCAGCAGCAGGTATCCGAACAATTCCTCAGAACACTCCCCATGGTAAATTCGATAGAAGATGCACAGAGATGCAACATCTCTGCGCAGTTTAATTGCTGGCAAACCCCCATTTATGGGGGAGTCCTGTATTCAGCAGTGGACAGTTGACAGCCGATATGGTGATAAGGAATAAAAAATATAATAATAATAATAACTTTCCAGCAGGTCGATCATCAGTTAGTTTGTCGTTTCATTTAAAATTTAAGCGATTTTTAAAAGAGAAAGAGATTTTGATCTTTTTAACACACAAAATAATCCAATAAAAGACCCAAATTTCTCCACCGTTCTTTCACTTTCCTCCAAAAGCGTCATCCTCCAAAATTTTATGAAATCTAAAATGGTGTTTTGAGTTGCAGGCGTCTATAGATTAAGTTTTTTTTTTTTTAAATCAGTGAAAATAGAATGGTAATCCCGCCTGCGCTATCGGTATACGCTGATGGGGCACCAGCGAGAGATGACAGACCTTTGTAAATTACATTTTTTATCTTTTTCATCCTCCTCTTATCCCAATTATTACTGGGGGTCGGCGTAATATGCTTTTTGTCCATATTACAAAAAGATTTGGCTTATAATTAGAATTCCGTAAGAGATTTATCGAGCAAGAATGAATGGAGATGTCGGTAGGGGCCGCCCTAGACGGACGTATGTCGACCAAATAGGCGACGTGCTGAAGAACGGGCCAAATTAAAAGTACCCGTAACCGGCGAGCGTGTATGAAAAGATTGATGAATGTGGAGAAAGCGAAAGAGGTTTGTTTGAATCGAAGCATTTGGCGTTCCATTGTTTCTGCCTACCCTAATGGGAGACAGGCGTGACAGATATGTATGTATGTATGTATGTATTTGGCTTATAGTTTTACGACCGGCCGTCTGCCTGACGTCAACCCTTTTTGTGAATTCTTTTTAGATAAATACCTTTTCGTATGTGTATTTAGGTGCATTCTCCTTCGGCGAGACGAATTTCTTGTATTTCTCGAAGTAGGAGACGAAGAACTGTCTGTACCAGGCGGGCAGCTGTTCCGGGGAGACGGTGTGGTAGGCGGCCGTCGGGTCCAAGTCGATGATGTGCGAGATACGACCGGGGAACGAGAGGCTGTACAGCTTACCTGTGAATTGACGGACATATGTTTTACTAGCGACCGACCCCGGATTTGCACATTCTTTTTTTATAAAATAAAGTTCTAACTGTCCACTGCTGAATATAAGCCTCCTCCTTGGGAGGTTTTGCCAGTAGTTGCCACGCTTGGCAAGCGAATTAGCAACCGCAGTTAAGCTTTGGCGATGTTATAAGAGGGACGCTGTTGTCTATCCCTTGCCTTCCCATATATATATATATATATATATATATATATATATATATATGTAATTGTTTATATTTATAATAAGTTTACTATTGTAATGTTTTGAAGGAAACAATAAAGTAGAAAAGAGTATCTATCCATCTATCTATATATAATATACACCTGTATCCTCAGGAATGGCTACGCATGGGGGTATCATGGGCGAAACAGTACACTTTATGTCCATAGTACTGCTCATGTCTATAGGCGACGGTTACCACTCTCCATCAGGTGAGCCGTCAGCTTGTTTACCATTCTAAGTAGCATGAAATATCAAAGTTTACCTAGTAAGGTTCCTAGGGAGTGCGCGATATAAATGAACGAGTCCCATCTGAAGTGGTCGACGACGGTCTTTATAGCGTACAGGATTTCATAGGCGGACATCATGAGCCCGGGCGGCACTGGGTCAGACTTGCCGTTCCCTGGTAGCTCCATTGCTGTAACAATTATATTTAATTAATTGTTGTTCGCGATATTCTAGTTTTATGTTATTAATATTTTATTATTTATTGTGTTTGTTAATTAAATTTTATAGTTGTTTGTACATTGTATGTTTTACCTATAGTTTATAAGTGAAATAAAACATTTGCTATGTGCGAGACTTTAGTTCCCATAATAGAAATAAGGAAAATTGTAAAGTAATAGTTATATTATAAGAAATTATGTTTATATCGAGAATAAATAGATGCCGAAAAGTACTGCTCACTATAGTCGCGCATCTCTCTCACACTCGCCCCGTCCCTCTCGCACCAACTCATCAACGTGAGTTAGTAATAGGTAGTTAACGTGCGACCGGGCGGGGTATACAGGCCGCCTACCGGAGTGCGGCATTTGAACCTCAATCCGATCAGAGGAACTCTCAGAACTAGGAGAAACTCTTCTGAGCAGGTACTAGGAGCTTCAAAAGAGAATATTGGTTGTTTAAATCTCTCCAGCCAGAAACACACACAATCAAGAACCCACGGCCTGCAAGCGGGTCAGTCGAAGGCGGCTCGCACAATTGTCTTTGCATATAAAAAAAAATTAATGCTAATTAAAGCCATAGTATTCACCATCACCGTCACCACCACCGCCATCATCATCATCGTATCAGTATAACGTAGTCCCCCCTGGAAACATCATGCTGAATTCCAGGTGTATTTATCACGATGGGCTAACTGCCCTATTTTTTTATTTTCACTTATCATCTCTCACTGGTGTTCCGCTGCGTATACCGACAGCGCAGGTGGGCTTATCATTCAATATCATCAATTAAAAAAAAAGTACCTCGTTTACCATCAGACCGGCCGTAAGCTCGTTTGCAACTATAGTTGTATAAAAAAAGTCTATGTAATCTAGTTCTGAATAAAGACACATACCGATATAATAGTAGTTTCGCGGCAACAACTTGACCAGCGGTCGGAAGCACGCCGCGGAGTCCACCTGGCCGTGGCACATCAGCACCGGTGGGTCGAAGCAGTCGCCCCACGCTATCACTGTACAATACATTCATTGGGGGGGGGGGGGGGGGGGGGGGGGGGGTAAGGGATTGTTAGTAATGGAGACTGAAAATCCTATTGCTAGCAATATACCCAACCAGGTCGACCTCCTCGCGGTACCCCTGGAAACTATCATAATTAATTCCTGATGAATTCATCGTGATGGGCTAACTGGCCTGTTTTCATTCTCATCTATCGCCCTTCATTGGTTCTCCGCCAGCGTATACCGTTAGCGCAGGCGGGGTTACCATACCATTTTCACCCATAAAAAATACATTCATTAATACTGTGACGTATTGAATAAAGCCGGTCACTGCCAACCGCCCGCACCCCCGACACTCGACTGGGTAGCGTGCGGGCGAGAGGTCGTGCAAGTTACTGTGACACTAGTGTTTTATTTACGATACTTCTCTGTCGAGGAAGACAGCACAATTTTGGCGACGAGGAGAAAACGTGAGTACAAAGATATTTCATTACCCCTTGTGACTACAAAATTCCCTGTTCTTATCAGTCAAAATGTAAATACTTAAAAAAAAAAAAAAAAAAAAAAAAATAAGTAAATAAATAAAGGAAAGATATTTCTATAATTTAAAGTAAAGAAAATAATTAAGAAATTTCATTATTTTATTATAGTTATGATAAAATGTTATATAGAAATTTCTATAGTATTATTTATTATGAGAGGAGACAAAAGCATTGCTGCGTAATATGGCGTAAAAATGTAAAATGCATACATATGTATATATAAACAGTTGTTGCGGCGCAGTGTGGATTGTGATTTTTGCCCCGTTTTGGCCGATATCAATGTGTTCGAGTCGGGCGAGCGTGGGTCTTGATTTTTGTCCCGTTTTGACTGATATTAATGGGTTCAAGTACCATAGTCGCAAAAAACAATCTTGCTAAATGTGCCTAAACAAAGTTTCAGTGTTGTAGTTGTGGTTAGAGTTTGTTGATATCCACGCATACCGTAACGCAAGCTCTTTGTTTATATTTACATTATGGTATAATAAATCAAAATAGTAGGACTATGGCGATACGAGTTGGGTATTATTAGCGGACGCTAACTATATATACAACAAAATGTACCTGCATATTTAGCCAAGTCAGAATGATTATTATGACAGATGAAGTACACCGTACGATACGAATGAGCAAGACTCATCAAACCACAATTTCACATAAACTAATATCTAGGTAGATACAAGTTTATGAAATTAATCGTTTTAATACTAGAGGTTGCTTCCATAATGAATAGAAAGTATAAATCTATGAATCTATGTCAATGTACTATAGGATAGTTAGACGTATTATTAGGATAATATTCATTAATTTTAAACTTACAATAATATTGATAGCAAAAAAAAAAAAAAAAAAAAAAAAAAAAAAAAAAAAAAAAAAAAAAAAAAAAAAAAAAAAAAAAAAAAAAAAAAAAAAAAAACTGTAAGTTTTTGTCCTTTCTTGCAGATCAAACATGACGTCTCAATTGTCATCTATAGAAAATTTTGATTGCGAAGGCGATCCTAGTTCACTAGGCCTTAGATGGGAACGGTGGAAACGGGCTCTAGATATTTATTTGTTAGCTACGGGAACTGAAGACTCGTTGAAAAAGAGGGCAATACTTCTACATACGGGTGGATTTGCTTTACAAGATGTATATTATAACTTACCGGGAGCACACGTAGATATTACCGATTCAAGTGATGTTTTTAAAATAGCTATAGAAAAATTAGATGAGTATTTCTCACCTAAACAGAGTTATGTTTATGAAAGGCATCTATTCAGACTAATGAAACAAGAATCTGAAGAAAAATTCGATAAATTCCTGATTAGGCTACGGAATCAAAGCTCGAAATGCAATTTTGCTCGTAAGGAAGATGATCTCATCGATCAAATTGTAGAAAAATGTAGTTCGTCAGAGCTCAGGAAAAAGATTCTGCTGCAAGGCGATTCGACTACAATAGAAAAAATCATTGTGGAAGCAAACTCGATAGAGACTGTCGAAAGGCAGTTAAAAGAATACCAAGGAAAACCCAACCTTGTAAACAAAATTAGAACAAAACCAACTGATAAAAGTATACGGTGTACTAGATGCGGGAGTACATATCATGATAGTGACGATATACAATGTGTTGCTAGAAATAGCTCCTGCCAAAAATGTGGATTTATAGGCCATTTTAAGAACCAATGTCGCACTAGGCGAAATAAGCGCTTAGGTGTGCAAATGCCAGTTAAACGGCAAAACATAAAAAAATATAAATCGATTAATCTATCAAATAAACAAATATTAAATGGAGAATCTAAGCAATCATCCAAATCTCCTGAAACTACAGTATCACCAAATATAAACTATATATTCCATATAGATGATGATGCAGAAATAACTTGTCAAATCGGTGGTGTTAGTGTAAACATGCTTATTGATTCAGGTAGCAAAAGTAACATAATAGACGACAAAACCTGGGCATACTTGAAATTAAATGCAGTTGAAATATTCAATCAAGAAAAAGGTTCAGACCAAACTTTTATGGCGTACGGCTCTAAAGATCCACTTGATGTATTAGGATCATTTGAAGCGTCAGTTACAGTTGGACCTGAGAAGGGAACAGCAAAATTTTATGTTATAAATAATGGTACTCGTAACTTGTTAGGCAAAGAGACGGCTATGAGTCTTAATATATTAAAATTAGGGATAAGTATTAATTTATTAAATTCAGATACTTTTCCAAAATTTAAAGACGTTCAATTAGATATCGCTATAGATAAATCAATAACCCCTATTTGTCAACCTTATAGAAGGGTACCTATTCCACTGGAAAATAAAATTAATAAGAAAATTGACGAATTGGTAAAAAAAGATATAATTGAACCTGTATACAAAGCCGCAAATTGGGTCTCTCCTCTCGTACCTATTCTGAAGAGCGATGGAGACGTACGGCTTTGTATTGACATGAGATGTGCAAATAAAGCCATCATGAGAGAGAACCATCCTTTACCTACTATGACACAGCTTTTGCCTAAATTAGGAAAAGCTCGCATCTTCTCTAAACTTGATATCAAGGACGCTTTTCATCAAGTTGAGATCAGTGGAAAATGTCGGGACATAACTACATTTATAACGAGTAAGGGGTTATTTCGTTATAAACGTTTAATGTTTGGGATTTCGTGCGCACCTGAACATTTTCAGAAAATCATGGAAAGAATGCTTCTTTCTTGTGCAGGCGTTATAAATTTTATTGACGATATCATCGTGTTTGGAAGCAACGAAAAAGAACACAATGCCAGACTAAAACATGTCTTACACATTTTGGAACACAATAATGTGTTACTCAATAAAGAGAAATGTATTTTTAAACAATCAAAGATAGAATTTCTAGGGCATGAGCTAACCCCAGGGGGTATTAAGCCTCTAGATAAATACGTTAAAACTATAGAATCATTTAGAGAGCCAAAATCTGTTGAAGAAGTTCAAAGTTTTTTAGGACTTGTAAACTATATCGGAAAATGGATTCCAAATTTAGCCACAATCACTGAACCAATACGCGAGATTTTAAGGTATAAGCTTTCTAAACATGCTGATATTACTGAGTTCTGGAAAGAAAAGCAAATTTATGCATTTGCAACTTTAAAACAAATATTAACTAATTTACACACATTAGGTTTTTATGATCCCCATGATAAAACACAAGTAATTGCAGATGCTAGTCCAGTAGGATTGGGAGCAGTTTTGATTCAGTATGATATACGTGGGCCACGCATAATCGCTTACGGCCATAAAAGTTTAACTAGTGTCGAGAAGCGATATTGCCAAACCGAAAAGGAGGCTTTAGCTTTGGTCTGGGCTATTGAGCATTTTTGCATGTACCTATATGGATTAAAAGAATTCGAATTAGTTACAGACCATAAGCCTCTTGAAATCATATTTGGACCACGATCTAAACCCTGCGCACGAATTGAGCGTTGGGTATTACGATTACAAGCGTACAATTTCAAAGTGGTCTATCGTTCTGGTAAGAATAATATCGCAGATTCCCTTTCTAGACTTTGTCGCACCCAGAATTTAAATCCTTTTGATGACGAATATCATGTCAACCAAATCGTACATCTAGCAAGACCACTAGCTATATCTATGGAAGACATAATAAAGGCATCGCAAAAAGACAATGATATACAATTAGTAAAGATGGGTCTCGCTGGGAAAAACTGGGACCCGGAAGTTAATCATTATAAACTGTTTGAGCATGAACTTTGGGTACATGACGACATTCTACTGCGAGGCAACAAAATTGTAATTCCATTTGAGTTACGTAAACCAGTGCTCGCATCAGCTCATGAGGGTCATCCTGGTATAGTCGCTATGAAAAATAGATTACGTACTAAGGTATGGTGGCCAAAGATTGACAAAGATGCTGAAAATACGGTTAAAAGTTGCAAGAGCTGCATCTTAGTCTCAGGACCTAGTTTTCCTGTGCCAATGAAAAGACGAGAATTACCATCACATCCTTGGACAGATATAGCTGTCGACTTTCTGGGTCCGCTACCAAGTGGGCATTACTTGTTCGTAGTGGTAGATTATTACAGCCGTTATAAGGAAATCAAAATCATGAAATCTGTGACGTCCCTAGAAACAATCGGCATCTTAAAAGAAATATTTTCAAGGCTTGGTATTCCAGTTAGTATAACATCAGACAATGGAAGACAGTTTACCAGCGAGGAGTTCAAGTCCTTTTGCTTAGAATTTGGTATTACTCTACATAATTCGATACCATATTGGCCGCAGCAGAATGGAGAAGTAGAAAGACAAAACCGTGACATCCTAAAACGGTTAAAGATAAGTCAGTCGCAGAAGTCTGATTGGAGAGACGAACTCCTACGCTACCTCATGATGTACAATAGTACACCACATAGCACAACTGGTAAAACGCCGTCAGAATTATTTCTTTGCAGATCGTTTAGAGACAAAATTCCTTCAGTTATAGATGTGGAAAATAGACATATCAATCTAGACGTATA